GCATTTAAAAATGGCGCCGGCCGGCTTCATGCAAATGAAGCCCGGGAAATTCAAATCCCGGGCTTCATTTGCAAGTGCGGTATGCCTACATTACCCTCCTAGTTCGAATTAGGAGGGTAGTGTAGACAAACCCCCCTTTCCTCAGGGCCCGGACTACAATGGCGATTTCTGTTTCTAGCACCATAGCTGCCTTCCCGGAGAGGAAAATGATCCATGCTTCACCTTTCGGAGTGGTTCCTAGAGGCGGGCTGGCTTTTCCCTCGGAGGACTCCAGGTCAGACCAGTCGGACATGGTATTGTCATTCGGGATCCGGCTGGAAGCGGTGGGCGCTTGCCTCAGGGGGGTGGGATACTTGGGTTTCACTGGGGTGAAGCCGGCACGGTGCCCCTCAGAGTCCTCCTCAGAACTGAACGGCGGGGTGCTGCGATTGAAAAGATGGGAGAAGGAACAGTCAGACGCGGAGGAAGTGGAGGATTCTTGGCAGAGGGTATCTGGAGCTATTGGTGAAGAGACCTAGCTAGTTCCCCACCAACGGGCAGAGCAGGAATCTCGGACTGCCAGTCCATCCCCCTCGGGGCAAAATGCTGCCACAAAAACTCAAGTCCCTTGCCCATTGCTTGGCCTACTTCCAGCCCGTCTTCAAACCCCTCCATTGGCTTCTTCCTTCCACAACCCCACCCAACGCCGCTGCCCCAGATCTCTCCTCTGTCATCTCTTATCCTCGCCCAGGTGAGCCCTTCTTTCTACCCACACAGCAGGGCCTCTCCATTCTTGTCCTTAGGGCCTATGTGGACATTTGTCATCGAGACACTGTTGCTTAAAGAACGATACTTTTCTCAAAACGGAAATATTCTCAGAAAGTGGGGGTGAAACTCCCGGGAGAGGAGAGAGCCTGAAACAAAGGCTTTGGATCAGGTCAGAACGCCCTGGCGCGACGCTCATGGAACGGAAAGTTCTAGATTGTGCAGTTCAAAGTGAAATGCATGAGGGGGGCCTTATGCAGCATAACATTTGAAAAGCATAACGGTCAGACTGGAACCAAAATGTTCCTATTTTTGTCAGCGTGTGGGCGGAGGGTGTCTACGCTCTGCCAGGCCGCGGGCCCCAGAGAGCGCCAAGTGGAAGGCATGAGAGCAATGTCTACGGCGAAGACAAGTGGTGTCAACGGCCTCACCTCGGCTGCTGGCTGGGGTTCCTCGGGGCAGCTCTGGTAGGCTGTGGGAGAGGCTGGCTTTGCTCCGAGGAGCTGGCCTGGGCGTCTCCTCCGCATAGGGCTGTAACTCCACTTGCAGCACTTGGGGCTTGGCAGAGGTGACCCGGCGAGGCGACGTGGGGCTCCTCTGACCTTTAGCTGGAAAGGAAGAAGGGACACTGAGAGTCAAGGAGTGAAGGATCGGCGAGCGGCCTGGCCCACGCAAGTGTCTAGCAGCACGGATTGACAACGCACTAAGCCAGCCTGGCAAGCGGGACTGGCTTAGGAAAAGCAAGCAGAGGTACAAGATGGCTGCTGAGAATCCCCAGGCTTTGAATCATAGAATCCCAGGGCTGGCAGAGACCTCAGGAGTCATGGAGTCCAGCCCCCTGCCCAAAGCAGGACCAGCCCCAACTCCATCATCCCAGCCAGGGCTTGTCAAGTCGGGACTTACACACCTCTAGGGATGGAGATTCCACCATCTCCCTAGGGAACCCAGCCCAGCGCTTCACCACCCTCCTACCTAGACCTCCCCCACTGCAACTTGAGACCATTGCTCCTTGTCCTCCCCCTGCCCCCCACTGAGAACAGCCTCTCTCCAGCCTCTTTGGAACCTCCCTTCAGGAAGTTGAAGGCTGCTCTCAAATCCCCCCTCACTCTTCTCTTCTGCAGACTAAACAGACCCAACTCCCTCAGCCTCTCCTCGTAGGTCATGTGCTCCAGCCCCCTCATCATTTTGGGTGCCTCCGCTGGACCCTCTGCAATGCGTCCACATCCTTTCTGTAGAACAGCCTCTCTCCAGCCTCTTTGGAACCTCCCTTCAGGAAGTTGAAGGCTGCTCTCAAATCCCCCCTCACTCTTCTCTTCTGCAGACTAAACAGACCCAACTCCCTCAGCCTCTCCTCGTAGGTCATGTGCTCCAGCCCCCTCATCATTTTGGGTGCCTCCGCTGGACCCTCTGCAATGCGTCCACATCCTTTCTGTAGTGGGGGGCTGAACACAATATCTCTCTTGCCCAGTTTTCCTTGGGGGTGCACAAGGGGTCCCAGACATGATGTCTTGAGACAACAGCTCCACGCTGGGATTGTGGCGCGGACAGGGTTCAAGGAGAGCATCGCAGCCCGTTACCTGGGACTACCGAAAGCTGCGGTGGGAACACGCCTTCATCCTTCTGGCGCTCCTTGACTTTCCAGGTGACCTCTCGGACGAGCTTGTCCCTTAAGCTGAGGAGATTGGGAAACTTCCTGGCCTTCTGCTGCTGCTGAGTCCGTATGAGGGAGCTCAGATTTTTGTAGGACTGAGCTGGAATCCCCTTTGTGGCCTAAAGCAGAGAGAATTGTGGGTAACATGGCAATCACCCCGGTTTAATTCTGACGCTGCCTCAGAGGGCGAAACCGGTCTCCGTTATCTCTGACAGAGAACATGGCCTTCTCCGGACGATGGGCCTCATCCAGCTGTCCATCAGCCTGGGCGCTGGATCTGGTCTTATGCCCAGGATGTTCTTCAGCATCGAGGGATGATAGGAGTTGCTATAGGGAACTTTCTGGGTGTCTGGCTGGTGAGTCTTGCCCACATGCTCAGGGTTTAGCTGATCGCCATATTTGGGGTCAGGAAGGAATTTTCCTCCAGGGTAGATTGGCTGAGACCCTGGAGGTTTTTCGCCTTCCTCTGTAGCATGGG